TATTAATGTTTTAAAATGCATATTTGAAAGGTAAATTAATTCTTATGTTAACAAAGACTTAGAGAGAAAAAGTAGGCTTAGGTAAATACAAGTGTATGAGTCCAAGTCTGCATGTACATATACAAAGTACATGGGTATCTGCTAGTGTGATGTGGTGCTTATCAGGTTTGTAAAAACCAAAACAAATGAACATTGCATAAGCCAGGCAGTAAAACTAACATTAAAATAAAATATATATGTGAAAAGGTAAACAACTAGTTGTGTAGAGCATCCAGTTCAAAAGAAGAAGAGTAAAGTTATCATGCATTTTATTTCCTAATTTTCAAAATTTCATAATACTGTACATAGATGACTTATCAAAAGTTAGTGTTAGAGTAGAGAAAATAAATGATAAAATATAAACTTTTACCTTAAACAAAAGCTCTGATATTCTTTTGGGAGATTCTAGATGAAAAGAACTCTTTTATTCTTAGCATGAAAATCACCTAGGAACTGAGGCTGACTCAGTGAAGGCTTTGGAAATTTACAGAAACATTTTACTACAAACACTTTATTAAAAATTCTTATTTTTTGTGAAGATACACTTAGTAAACAAGTTATAGCATATATAGATATATAGTTTCGTGGTTATAGATTGGTCAAAATTACAAAGACTTAAGAGGGTTGAGGAGTTAATATAAAATGAGAAGTCTAATCCAGTTTTTGCTGAAGTATAGTAGTTTACTAAATGTAGTAAATGTACAATTTTTTTTTCATAACAGGAGATCAAGAAAAATTTAAAGAAGTACAGTGCTCAGTTTGAAATCAAGGATAGAATGTCCCTGTCCAAGGCATCCAAGGTAAGGTGTTCGATGTTTCTATATTGCACACAGTGTTGCTGTTCTCAACTTATGTTAAGTAAGGTGTTCCATGATTTTGTATTGCACACACTGCTGTTGTCATCTTATGTTAAGTAACGTGTTTGTTTTGCACAGTACTATTATTGTCAACCTGTGTTAGCCCTCTTGCTACAGGCACTTCAAAGTGAACTTGTCATGATGTTTTAGAAAGTTACATTCAAAATTTAATTACACTACTTTATTGTCATGGTATACAAATAAACTTGGAAAAAAAAACGTAGTTAATAAACCAAGTTTTAATATATAAGTTTTAAGTTTATAAAGAGATATTTAAAAAATTCCTCAATCTCACCCTAGTATAAGAATTGTAATATTTACTCTCTAGGTATCCCCTCTTTCTAATTTATTTACCATCTCTCCAAGAAGTGTGGGATTTAACATAAAATACTTGTTCTAATATTGTCATTACTCAGACAAAGCATAATTTTTTATAGCCTTCAATCTCAGACGCATAAACTAGAAAATCAGACCAAATTGCCTAATCCACAAATTGCCAATAGTTCTCTCTGACATTTAATACTGTAATGTTTATAACCAATAGAAAGCCAAATTTTTAATCTATCAAATAATACATTATTTTATGTTGTTTTCTGTACAGTGAAATGTATATTTTGCTTTCAGTTCAGATTTTTTTATCCCCATGGGAAACACATCATAGAGCTTAGCTGAATTTTTAACAGGCTCTTTTTACATAGTCATGAAGTCAGAAAAATTGTGATAGTTATAGGACATTGTCTGCTTTTACATGTTATTATTCTGTGTTCTTAGGTGCATTATTTAATTAAATAAACAATTATTTAGTGTAGTAGTGTCATTAGTATAAAAAAGTCGGATTAAGTTTCATCGACAGTATTTGTAATTTAAAAATTAGAAGCTTATTAGGTTAGATTAGGTGAGATAAAGAAAAATAATTATAATAATAAAAATCCCATGAGGTACATAATTTGATAGGATAATATGAGCTACATGTTTACCGAATAATTTACAACTTGTGTGGAGGGGTTATTAGTTAGACACAGGTCAAAGGGCAATAAAAGAATAAAATTAAGCATAAATATGTAGTTTCATGTTACAATTTGAAGTCATTCTAGGAAGAAAAAAAAGGGAAATTTAGATTTATTTCGTTTATTTTTATGGTAGTTACTAGGTCGGTCAAATTGACCAACCCTGTATACTAGTTAGGATAGAAAAAATAACAGATAAAATATAAGGTTTTACTGAAAATAACATTTGAGAATTTTAAGATGAAGAATAAGTATTTTGAATCTTAACATGAAAATTACTTTGCACTTGGAGCAGTCAAAATTTTGAATCCATATATTCATGGAGAAATTTTTAGTGAAAATACTTTTTTTCCTATAAAATACTTGTTATGCTTACACTAAGCTTGCAAAATTAGGTAAAGATACATAAAACATGTTAAAAGTTATTGTATGGAAACTCTAAAGGTCAATTTGGGGTCATGATTTAGGTTGAAAGGACCGAGCCTCTAGCAACAGTGTTATGGTATTTCAAGTGTTTGTATTGCAAAGTTCTGTTGTTTTCAGAATGTTAAGTAAGGTATTTTTATTGAACAGTTCTGTTTTTTTTGCCAGCCTATGTTAAGTAAGGGTTTCCATCTATTAAGTGGGTTAGCTTGTGTTAAATAATGTGTTGCATGAGTTCATATTTATAGTCAGTTCTCGTGTCAGCCTTTTAAATAAGGTGTCTATGTGTGTAGTGCACGTAATGCTGCTGTTGTCATCTTCAAAGTCAGATTTATTGTGTCATTTAATAACACAAAGTATTGTTTTGGCGTCAGATGCTAATATTATGTAAAAAATATCTGCTGATTGATCCAAACATAGTTTTTGCACAGTAAGAAAATCTAAGCTTAGTTATCATTTGCTTTAAAAATTTTTAGATGTTGATGTTTTATAGTAGAAGAATCATCTTTGGTTAAATTAATTTTAGCTCTTCAAAAGAAAAGTTTCATCTTCAGGAACAAAGAATTTTCTAAACAGGTGTGCTTTGAAATTGTACTATAAGCAATTACTTTGGTAGTCTTCAAAATACACATTATTTAATACAGTGTTTATAAATTATTTCAAAGAAATTTGGGTAAGAATGGATTTTTATTTTTGAAATGCCTTCAGGAATTGGTGGAAAAGAGGAAGAAGGTGATGGAAGATTTTAGGAGTTACAGGGAGAGAAAAAGAGAAGAATTCATAAAATTGAAAACTCAACGACTTGAGCTGCGTGATGGTATGCTGTCTTAGATCTTTAGTTTTTTCTTCTTGTATTTATGGAAAGTGTATCCTACAGTAGTGCGTTCTTATTATATATGTTATCTGATACAATATAGTTGATAGTTTAAATTTTTTTTTAAAACAACCCTTTGATGTATAGCATGGAGAAGAGCCAAACTACATACAAACTGCTTGTGATTTGGTGATGTGTAGTACAGTTTTATAATAAGTTTTGTTTTTGTAAAACTTTGTAAACATCTAAAAAACACACATATATATATCTTCAATAATTTTGGATAAAAAATACTTAGTTGTCAATATTCATAGACAAAGGAAAATGTTATTTTCTAAAATTTTGTGAGTCATCTGGCATTTATAAAAGAGATATGCCCTCTAGTGACACAGAGGTATGTCTGCAGACTTATACTGCTAGAAACCCAGATAGCCCATTGAGCTGATTTATGCTTAATTAAAAAGAAAGAGACAAAAAAAAAGATATATAGATTAATTTTAATAATAATGAAGAAAAGTTTATTTTTTCATAATTAAAAATGAGACTGTGTTATATTAGATTATTTGGTCAATTCTATTCTGAAGTGAGGTATAAGTTACAAATACTTATTCTGAAATGAGGCTGTTGGGAAGAGTAAGACTACATTAAAAAAAAGTTGTACACTTGTACTTATTACATTGGGCTGTTAAAGATATTTCTTGTATATTTTCAGGAGTGGACACAGATGAGTTAGACAGTCACTTGGAAAACCTGGAAGAAGAAACAGTTGAGTTTTTTGTCAAAGAAGAATTAAAAGTGATTGAAGAGTAAAAGGGAAATCAGTTACACTTTGGTGAATTAGTGTCTCCATAACTTGCTCCAGCCATTCTTGGAAGCTGCTAAAGAACTTGACTGTATGGTGTGGTTCCTGTTCACAAGGGACCACCAATATAATACGAAAGTGTGTTCTTCTGTTTCATAGGGTTTCAGTTCTTAAGTGACTATAAAAAGTGTAATTATTATCAAGTTCACTTTTTTTTTTTATATCTACAAGATAGTATTTTTCCTCTTTTCACAGACCATGTTTTCACTTTCAAAATTGGTTCAAAATATTTACTTCAAACCTTTCAGAATATCTATGATTCATAATAAAAGTGGCTTTCACCGGAAATCTAAGTATCTTCTGTTTTCTTTAGTTCAGAAGTAACTAGATTTTAAATGTTTTTGAACTTTCATATAAAAAAAACAATAAACTATAGTGACTTTTAAAATAGAATTGTCTTGAAAAAATCCTTGTGAAAAAAAAACTTCTTTTAAAAAATAATGAAAAGAACTACTATGTATTTCATATTAAAACCACACTTGCAAGAACAAAGCCCTTTGGAGATTGCCATCCAGGAAGAGATTTCAGCAGTTTGTGGAGTAATTTTTGTTCACACATACATGTGTTCTCTTTTGTTCTCTTTCATATCACATATATAAACATTCAAAACAGATTTTATATATATATATATTTCTACAGGTGAAAGTTAGAAGGAAAGACCTAATTATGCTTGTTGAATGAAAGTATAAATATAGAATATAGGAAAATTGGATTATTAATAAACATGAATTAAACACTATCACATTCGGAAACAGGTTTAATGTGTATAACATTCAACGTTACAGGAAAGATGTCATTTCTCAGAAAATAATTGTTATAAACTTATATGACTGAAGAAGATAAATTTCCTTTTCCTTGTAGAAGATATTAAGTTTTCTAAATAGCTTGCAAATGATCAAGTTGTTTGAAATTTCAGACATTTTAAATTAGGTATGTAGCTTCGAATTAATATGCTATTTATTTAGGTTAAATACGATACTCTGTTACTTCATGGTGTGATTAAAGAAAATTAAATCATAAAGGATGAGAAGTGTAATCTAATTTTATAGTTTATCTAGATGGTCAGTTTGGAAAATATTTTGTTGTCTTTCAAAATTTGTAGTACATACTGGAGGGATTTACACATTTTGATAAAAAAGTTTAGGAAAAACAACCATTATATTCCAGATATTTATAAAAGAGCTTTTTTTATTTTATCCAAAGTTCACCTTTGTGGTTTCATCAGGGTTAGTACATACAACTGTTTGATATTAGAATATCCATTAAATTATAGAACTGCTTGTAATGTTTTATTTCTCGAGTTTGCCATAACGTGAGTCTAACAATTTCTAGATTATTGTTATTGTTATAGTATTGTTGTAATATTAACAATACAGAGATACTAACATACGACATATATTACTTATAGGAGATATAAAAATAAAGAAAACCACAGTATGTTTTATGGTTAGTTAAAAACTATAGAAGCTGCTAATAAACAAAAGTAAAGGATACAAAGTTTACTAGCAGTGCTAGAAACAAATTGTAATTAGACTGTGTGATACTCCAGAATACGCAAGTGTTAAACTGAAAGTAATAGTGTCAAGTGTACTGGTATGATGTGTTGTTTCTTAGAATTTCTTATACAACTTCCACTCATCAGTCAAGTTCATACTAAAACTACCCAACCCAGAAGGATGTTTAACATTCTTAGACATAAACCTAAAAATCCAAGACAGACAAATAAGGAACTCCATGCATAACAAAGAATGTAATAAGCTGATATTTCTCCATTACAAATCACACCACCCAGAACAAGTCAAAAGGGGGAACAATAAAAGGAGAGTTAGAGAGAATAAATCCAAACTGTTCCATGTGAATGCCATTCAAATAGCACAAGACAATTTTAAAACATTACTATTAAGAAACAGATACCCCGAATATTACATTGACAATATTTCAAAAAAGAAAAAAACAAAAAAACATTACAACAGCAACAGATCGAAAAACAAAAAAGACACACAAAAATGCTCACAATGAACATTCCCTTCATAAACAGCACAATTGCAACCAAGAATCGTAAAGCCATTAAACAATCCCAACTGAAAATCGACATAACGCAAAACCAGGTAAAACACTGAAAGAACTATTAGTTTACTGTTCATTCTCACAAACAAAAATGTGCCAAAAAACATTGCTATGCCAGAGAAAACAGCACAACAAATGTGCCACATCAAAAACGTAGCCTATCAAATCATTTCTAATATATGTGGAGACGCATATATAGGCCAAATTGAAGACCTTTCCACAAGCTCATCTCAGAACACATCAGTGCATTATATACATATGACCAACACAAAACCGCTCCAGCAGAACCCTTTCTATATAAACACGGAACCCCAAATACAGAAAATCAAAATCATTTATAGTTTCTATCTGATAAAAAACAAAGATTTTAAAGAGAGAAAATATATGGAAGCTATAATCATTAATGACAAAAATCCAAAAATAATGAACAGAGACAATGGGTGGTACATGTAACTAAACCACCATTCAAAAAACGACATCATATCGGTACACTTGACACTATGACTTTCAGTTTAACACTTTCGTACTCTGGAGTACCACACAGTCTTACAATTTGTTTTAACACTGCTAGCAAACTTTGTATCCTTTCCTCTTTATATTTCTGTTTCTTAGCAGCTTCTGTTTTCTGTCTTGTGTGTTTTTTTATCTAATCATAAAACATATCATGGTTCTCTTTATTTTTATATCTCTTTTTAAGTAATATATATAGTATTATAACCATACCATAATATTAGAACAGTAGTGAAACAGTA